AAGTGGCCCCAAACTGTCTCCGACCACCGAGCTAATGACGAACACAACACCACCATTTCTCCCGCAGCGGCCACTCGAGGTACTGCACGTGACTTCTATTTTGGCTGTAAGAACAGATACAGCGGTAGAGGTTAAAGGGGTGCCACCCTCGTCTCCCCGGCGGACGCGCCGCGTTGAGCTAACTGAAGTTAAAATGCACCTAGGGCGGGACGTGCTACCTGAAAAGCCCACTGAGGCATGGTTGTATAAAAACAATATTAATTGTGTTGGAAAACCCTGCAAACTAAAGATTTTAAAAACATAACGCGCCCCTCTTTTGGTACTTAACTCCAATAAATTTCATACAAAAAGAGTATTTTTCGTTTGTTTTTACGCAAAAACAGGCTTTCGAAAGGTCAAGGTGACCACAGTACAGACAAGTGACAAAGAGTGGCGCTGTTGTCGCATTTAGCTCGGTCTCGGTGGACGCCAGCGGCCCAAGTTTCGACGGCGAGTTTCCCAACTGAGTGTTTTAGTAACGTTGCCTCGCCCTGAGGTTAGACATGGTTCGGAGCCCCAGTAGAGTTGGTACGAGTCACCCGCAGTGACACCTAAGCAAAAGTACACACCTCATGGTGGCCCGTGGCCAACCGTTTTCCGCTAAATTTAGAGAAAAAAAAAAAAAGTTGAAATTGGCGTTTTGGAGCAGGCTGGCGCAGGGAAGTGAATTGGCGCAGGGTGGTGCAATTGGCGCAGCGCTTCCACCCCTGCATACGTCCGATCGTGCGACTCGTTGCGCCTGCTCGGCCGTGGAGTAGTATGCGGTGTCGACACGAACCGCGCTCGCAAAGCTCGACAAACTGCCGCTGCTGCATGGAGTCGCGATGTCTCCGGCTGATGTTTCCGGAGGATCCAAGGCATCCGGCGGGGGTCCATATCACAAGAGCGAATGACATTTTAGCGAATGGCGACGTTTGAGCGAATGGTCGTTTTAGCGAATAACGGGGGCGCGCGTTAACCCATCCGTCGCGCTGCGCTTTACGCCGCTTCGCGGCGACAGTCTGCGGCAACTCATTACAAAAATATGAACTCACTTGGCTCACCCGAAAACGCCGCTTCGCGGCGTCCGACTATTCGCTAAAGTGTCGTTCGATGAAACGTGGGCGTTCGCTAAAACGTCATTCGATCAAGTGAGTGCCTCCCATCCGGCGGTGCCGATCGCGGTGGCGCACTTGCAGCAGACAGCTTCGGCTTCTTGTTCCACGGTCGCTTCCTCTTCCTTCCGAACGCTTGCCGCGTGCTCGATTTCAACCGAGCGTCGTCGGGCATCTCGAGAACTCGAAGCGAAACAAAACAAAACACGCGCGACTTCGTAGGAAAGCGAACCAACAATGTTCAACGCAAGCGCGCAAATGGGAACTAAAACGTGCGCTCGATAACGGAAGAAACAAAGCAGACAGGCCTAGACGGGCGGAGACGGGCCCAGGAGCAGACGACGCACCTCTCGCCAGCGCGGGAACGGAAAGGAGGAAAGGAGAAAAAGAGCGGAGGGGCGCGTTTAGGCCAATAGCAGGGGCGCTAAGCGCCGCGCGTGCTCTGACGTACGGGCACCTTGCTAGCCGGCCAATGAGCGATCGCAATTGGGGCCTTCGAAACCCGCGGAATGCGGACGTTTCCCGATGTTGTCGCGATAACGAATGGCATGGGGACGTGGGGAAAATAAGCGGCTTTCCAACAAGACCAAGATGGCCGCGATCCGACGAGCGATCGCGAAACGCGCGGGGCGCGAAGTTCCACTTGTTTTCATTGAACTCGCTGTGTTAGGGCTCTGCGGGGACATCGTAAATATCATTTTTTTCATGCTTAGACATTGAATTCGACATTGAAACTTTGCAGGCAGGTACCTTAGACTACAATTAATCAAAATATGTGAATTTTGAAAAACGTGAAATTTCGGGTTTTTTTACCATTTTAAGACCCGCGTCTTAAAATGGTAAAAAATTTTAAGGTTCTGCCGCGGGTCTTAAAATTTTAAAAAAAATTTTAAGACCCGCGGCAGAACCTCATTGACATACCCGACGTCCAGCGTGCTAGGAGCAACGGCTGACGTGGGGGAGTGTCAGGGTTAGTTTTGGGGCCGAGAAATTTTTCCTTAGGAAAAATTTCTAGGAGCAACGGCTGACTTTTTGCGGTCACTCGGAAAACATTTTAAGGGGCCCTACAGTAATTCCGCTAAAATCAAATGAACCTACCTATCAAACAAAAAGAATATAGACGTTTGCAAGTCTGGATTCTCAGCGCCGCCATCTTGCTACAGCATGGCTAGATCGTGTGCTAGTCAAGCCTTGCTAAGGCGTGCCCCCGATTGTCAGACTGGCACCCAAACAAAGCATTTTCCACCCACATTGACCAGACAAGCTTCGAAGCATGGCTACTTGAAAGCATACCTCATTAACAAACTCAAATCAGTTCAAAATGAAGCATCTTGTTTTATATCGCACGACTACTCATGGACATTGAGCACAAATGCACTAAAATCAAATCTAAATCTTTGTCCCTTAACTGAAAGAACAAAACTTACTCGTCTTATCATGTTTCACAAAATCTACCATTTCTCTTCTTTTCACAACAATTAGTGTCACCCGCCATGTCACATCAACTTGCGTCGCGACCACACTTTAAAAGTAAATCATCTACTCGCAAAAACGAACAAATTAAAAAATATCCAGCTTTCACTAGCTATCAGTGACTGGGATTCTCTTCCCAAAATAATCATACTCAAAACTAATCAGTCTAAATCCGGTGATCTTTGCAAGGCACACTTCGCAAATGTTTTACACAAGTCCAAAACGTTTATTCAATATCAGATCCCCCCTTTTCTTTTTACTTATTTTTTTATATTACCCGTAGAATATGTCTCTCGGTCATCATTAACAGAACTGTTATTCAGCAATTTTCACTGTTAGTCTTTTGTACTAGATCACCCCCCTCATGTAATGAGCCGCAATGAAGTGCTCTGGAGGATTATTACTGTGTTTGCACGATTCTAACGCACACTTTTTTTCGCCAAAATCAATGCCCAAAACTACATGCGCGTTACAATCGAAAGCAAAAACCGAAACTCCAAAATACTCAGTATAAGGTGGCTAGCCCCATCACCGTCGTGACGGTTTGTTTATGGTCGCCATTTCGGTATCTGTATCACGCGCTTTGTCTCGCGTCCACGGTCTCGTGTCTGCCGTTTTAAGATTGAAAAGCAAAAGAAATTCCACTAGGAGATCTTATGTAAAAAAATGACCGCATCTCCATGTGGTGAATGATGTTGATTGGGGCAAAGCTCTGGCAGTGCTGATGATACTGATTTTATTCTTCATAGGTAGTGCTGATGGAGCTGATTTTTTTTTTATTGGTCATAGGTAGTGCTGAGTTCCGGGTTGCATTTCAACTTCATTATTATTGCTTTATGGTCGGTGAGATGCAGAGCAGGTGGTGCTTCCAGCGAATCAGCTTGGATCCGCTAGAAGCTGTGGGTACGCATCTCCACCGCTTAAGTCAACGGTCCATGTCAGAAAGAGAATGTGTGGTATGGAACGTGGTTATATACGCATTTGAGCATTTGACCGCAGCGCCCTCTCGTCTATAAACGTTGAGCCAATGCATGCAAAGTTTAATGCGATTATATACGCATTTGACTGTATAGACGTTGAGCAGCTACATGCAACGTTTCATCCATGACAGAAACCCCAGCTCTTGAGTTACTACCACATCTCAGAGCCCCCTACTCGTCCCGCAGTCGTGGCCGAGTAATTAAGGCGATGGACTAGAAATCCATTAGGGTCTCCCCGCACAGGCTCGAATCCTGTTGACTGCGCAAGCATTTTTTCTTTTTATGTGGGCACGGACGCCGACCGGACGGATGGACAAGGCTAGACCCTAAGGCTAGACCTATAAAAACTTTCAGCCTTTCCACTCTGGTGAAAAACGAAGACCAGCGAAGCTGTATTATAGTGGGACAACCTCAAGGACGACTTCTTGGACGACCTCAAGGATGACTTCTTTACGACCTCAAGGACAAGGACGACGCCTAGAGGACGTCGTCTAGGGTGACATCTAGGACGACCTCAAGGACGACATGTAGGACGACCTCAAGGACTTCTAGGACGATTTCAGGGACGACGTCTGGGATGACCTCAAGGACAACCTTTAGGACAACCTCGAGGACAACATCTAGGACGACCGCAAGGACATCTAGGACGACCTCTAGGATGACTTCTAGGACAACCTCAAGGACAGCCTCTCGGACAACATCAAGGAAGACCTCAAGGACTACCTCAAGGACGACATCTAGGACGACATCTAGGACGACGCCTATAGAAATTCAGCCTTTCCACTCTGATGAAAACCAGAGTGGAAAGGCTGGGAAGGTTGCCACTATCTATGAGTAAGGCCGGTAAGCCGGTTGTCCGGTTGCCGCCGTCGCTCATAGATGGCGGTAGCTGTCCAGAGTTTTGTGTCAACATTTCTTTGCGGGGGACACGATCCTGGGGAAACTAGCCCTTAACAGCTCCGCTGGAAAAAAGGCCATCACGCTGGCGGGAAAGGATAACAACGAAGCAGCACTGCGCGGCCTCGCAATCCCAGTGACCTGACAAGCTCAAAAACTGTTGTTTGGAAAATGACCCTCCCAGAGGCGGCGGTCGCTTACTCGTACAAGCAGAAAAGCAAGGATTACCTCCGTGAACAGCGAAAAATCATCGTCGGAGTCTGACAACAACGACTAGTGCACAGTATATATTTTTGTGTTGACGTGCGTTTCATAAAATCTGTTCTATGAGGTATGTGGTCAATCTTAATTATTTTACCTGTGCGGTAGAATCGTCAGCAATTCACTTTTTGAATATCTGGAAGCTAAATCTGCCTGCATGCTAGAATCAGGAGCGCGTTAAAATCGTGCAAACACGATAAACTGAACAGAACCGATATGTCCAGAACCCAAGAGACAGGCTAGAGACAAACTTCACCTGGAGATTTGTTACGTCTTGGAATTCTTGCACATCTTGCACGTCGGTTGCGTCCTCTGCAGAATGCCCTTCGTGCATTGCCTGCTCCTCATCCTGTTCTTCCTCGTCATCGTCGGGCTCTGTCGAGTCTCGCAACGTGAGGGAAGGCACGGGCTGAGAAGAGCTTGCTGGAGGCTTTGGGGACTGCACAGGCCTGCGAAGGAACGGGAGTAGCCAATCTGAGCAGAGCGTTCGTAACAAAGACCGGAGATGGGTTGCAACCGCTTCCAAACATTTCTGATAGTGCACCACAAAGTTCCCGACGATCGCCCCGTCCCGTTTTTCTGCGGTTAACTCTGTGCGCGGCGGGAAGAACTGAAACGTTCACCGCGTTGTTAAAGGGGAACCAAACCAGTTTCTGTAACAGTTTACTTAAAGGGACCATGAAATGATTTTAAAGTCGAATTTCATCCACCGCACGTCGTAAAAGGTGTGAAAATAAACACAAAAACACAAAAATGGGGAGCCAAAAAAAATTATTTGCTATAGAACTTTTAAAAGAAAACTGGACTCTTTTGCACCTTCTTTCCTTCACCTTTTCACTACGATGCATCCGCGGAAACGGAGCACGTCAGCCGAATCCACGTCGCCTATTGGGTAAGAGCCTACCTCACCAGCACCGCGATCGTAAACAAAATAAATAGCCGGCGAATGTTTCCTAAAAGTTTTGTTAATATTCAGATCCACATTTTGTAGCATAATTAGAGATGTGTCGCGAAAATTGCCAAATTTGATAATGCTGAGAGCCAAGCGCCATCCATCGTGTGGTAAACGAAGCAACTACTGCGCGTGTGCAATAGGGCAGGGCCGACATCAGTTAGTTGGGTCGCGACAAACGTTTATTTCCTTTGATTTCCTTCCTCTCAAAACTCTGACTGACTGAACGTTTATTTTTCTACGTGTTCTTCTCGTGCGTGCCGACTTCAAGCAGCAAGAAAAAAAGTACTTAAAACAGACCGCGACGAACAAGAACGCTGGATCCACAAACACCCGAGAAGAGCGACAATGGCCACAAATCACACGACTCCGACAAAGCTGCTCAGAATATAGGCCTAGCAGGCACTCCGACTCGGCCCAGCGTTGCTTCGTCGCAAGACCGTCTGTCTACGACCGGCTGGCGTGCTGAATGGAATATGCCCGCGCTACCCTTGTGGACCCTTCCCGTATTATAGTTTGATCGCTGACCTCAATTTTAGATTAAGAGGTGAGGTCAATCTCTTCCCCTTGTTTTCCGAGGCAGTGTTGACGAACACTCGTCGAAAAGGGACTCTCGTCGATTCTATCTTCTTGTTTTGTGTGACATAGAGCTGAAATAAACGCCGTATGGATTACCTTCGTAACACGGTATGTACACTTTGTTATTGGTATGCCATTTTTATTCTGACAGACTGCACGTCACTGTCGAGCTATAACAGTTCGTGGGAGGTATACATGCAACGCCGGTCCAACCTTTCTTTGCCGAGTGTCGCGTCAGTATCGAGTTGCAATCGTAAAAGATCGGTCCCGAAGCGCTTACCAACAGCGCGAATACAGCACTTCCATCAAACGCGCGCGTCTGCTCCGAGTGTGAACAGGTATTTACGTGGCTCTTGCTGACACTCGTAGTTCAAACGTATCTTTTTTAACGTCGGCTCGCTCCTGCATCTCCGAGGCCGCGAAAAACGCCGCGGCAATTTGTTTCCATCTACGTCGCTTTGCAAACGACTGACACGGGCCGCCTTTTGCCAACAATGGCAGTTGGGTTGACTTCTGGAGTCTTCACCGGAAGACTCGCCGCACTTCCCAACAGGCATACCGGCGTATGGGACTAGTCCCATGCTGTCGCTGTAGCGCAACATATCTCATTGAATTTCGCTCAGCTGTGATGCGGCGATGAGAGGCGCCGATTCAGAAAATACGTCGGTGACATCAGCGCAGTAAAACCTACCGGTGCACCCCAACTCGTCGCCGCTAACGCTCCCATTCTCCTACTGCCGAGAGAACTTCCGGTTCCGGAAACAGCGTACGTCACGGCTTGTTTTGCGGTCAGTTGGAGAGAAAGAAAAAGTTGATATTTCATTAATTTTTTGTGTAGAAGTTAATAAACCGAGACGAAAACGGATGCCTGTTCGGCATTCAGTGAACATGGACGGTTTAATGTAAAAGTTATCTGGAAAAAGTAAAAAAGTCATTCTATGGTCCCTTTAAGGTTGTAATGCAAACCGTGAGCTCCAAGCGTCCTAATAAACCAAACATTACACCCACGCGTGGCCGATTCCTCTATAAAAATCGGAACCAAAAGGTTGACATCAGGTGGCGCCACTGGGTGAAGAAGGGCAGAGCCCCGCCTTTCCTCGTGCAACAGCACCGTCTATGATAAACAATCTTTTGACACCAATCTTAATAAAACAAACTGACTGTAATGTTTGGCTTTTTAGGATGCATATACTGTGTTTGCACGATTATAACACACACTTTTTTTCCGGAAAATGTGAGCTCAAATTTGCATGCGCGTTACAATCGAACCCATGAACCAAAATTTAAATAAAGTCAAAACTCTGTCATGGCCACATAGTATGCTAGGTGGGGCAAGCTACTGCCTGTTTCAAAGGTACAGCCGCTATCTATTCATCCATCTTTCTATCACATGGTCCAACCTCATCAATATGACGCCATCTTTTTGCATTCCCAATTGCCACACCAGTCACTCCCGTTTCACTCGTGTGTTCTTCAGTTGTATTGGCAAGATGGAGAAAAGGCGCGTTCATTATGAGGCGTCTTTCAAGCGCAAAGTCATCATCCTTGCGGAACAGGAAGGCAACCGAGCTGCGTCACGAGCATTGGGCGTCCCGGAGACGTGCGTGCGCGCCTGGCGTAAACAAAGGCGCAGGAATTTCGCCTGCAAAGCTACGCGGAAAGGGTTCAAAGGCCCCCAACGGGGACGCTTTCCAGAGCTCGAAGACTCTCTTGCGGACTACGTAAAGGACTTGCGACTCAATCAGCTGCCCGTCTCCTCGGATGCGATCAAGGTGAAGGCACTCCAGCCTGCAAGAAGCTGCAACATTCCCCGGTCTCGTTTTAAGGCCAGCAGGAGCTGGATCTCCAAATTCATAAAGCGAAAGGGATTTTCGCTTAGGCGAAGAACCAGTATCTGCCAAAAGCTCCCAGAAGCATATGAAGAGAAGCTGGTTGCATTCCAGCGGTTTGTAGTCAAGCTTCGCCGGTACAGGAGCCACATGATCAGACAGATCGGAAACGCCGATCAAACTCCCATGTTTTTTTTTATATGCCATCGAACTACACAGTGGAATCCAAAGGCGCTAAGCAGGGGCGAATCCTCTCGACGGGAAACGAGAATAGGATAACAGCGATGCTATGCTGCATGGCAGACGGGCACAAGTTGGACCTCTTCCTAATCTTCAAGAGAAAGATGCTTCCGTCGAACGTTACATTCCCTAAGAATGTTATTGCTCGGGTACACCCCAAAGGCTGGATGGACACAGATCTCATGATCGACTGGATAGACTCGGTGGGGAGGAAGCGATTTGGTGCCGACCTGGATGTTGGTGCTCGACTCGTTCAGGTGCCATATCAGCGACCGTGTGAAGGACAAACTTGCAGCTTGCCACACCGACCTTGTGGTCATCCCAGGTGGCATGACCTCTCAACTTCAGCCGCTTGACGTCTGCTTGAACAAGCTGATAAAGGACTATGTACGTACAGCATACAATGAGTGGCTGATTGATGGGGAGCACGCGCTGACGCCGGCAAGGCGTTTTAAGAGGGTGACGCTCGACGACTTAGCAAAATGGGTACACGACGCCTGGGAGGCACTCCCTCGGGCGATGGTCGTCCACTCCTTCAAAAAGTGCGGCCTCTCCATCGCCTTGGACGGCAGCGAGGACTACTGCCTGTAGCCTATGGACAGCGAAAAGGAGCTATCGTCGGACTCTGACAGTGACTAGTGTGGTTGTTTCGAGTGTGTGTGTGAGTTTACTCGTTCCATAAAATGTGTCTTTCAGGTACGTGGTATTCACCCTCCATTTTTTCACCTGTGCGGTGCAATCAGCATCAAGTTATTTTTCGAATATTTGAGGGCTAAATATACCTGCGCGCAGGGTTGGGCAGTATCGCGATACAAATGTATCGCGTTAGTATTTCAGGAATACATTTCGTATCTGTATTTCTGTATCGCGATACATTTTTTTCACCGGTATCTGTATTTCTGTATCGAAATACATTTTGAATGTTCCTTTGTATTGCGATACAATCAGGGTGAAATGTATTTCGTTACATTTATTAAAAAATACTCCCCCCCCCAAAAAAAAAAAAAAATTCAAACATTTTTTTTTTTTTTTGAGGGCACCAGGGTCAAGGATTGAGATGCTGGGGCATTGTTACCATGCTGACCAAGGTTCCTTCCGATGCTCCAAACTATTTTTCTATGCGTCCTCTTCTCTCTTCTGAGAACTGTCGAGCAGTTGGGGACTCGAACTAGGTGGCGTGCCAGGAGTGGAGTCAGAGCATCTTGTGCCGCAGGTCCTTAGGTAGGGGGGTTTCTTAAATCATTGTTTGCGGGCATCCAAAGCCCGCTGCTTACCGTCTCTCTTGCCTTAACGTGCACAGTACACCCATGCGGCAAAGCTGAGTAACAGTCCGTTGCAGCACGAGCCTGGCGGTGGTTGACTTGAAATAGTAGGATAACTCGCACAGTGAAGTTCAACAGGTATTTGAATGCGTCTGCGGCTGCGCCCGTAATATTGCATGGCTCAAGGGTACGTCATCAGCCGACGTGAAAGTGGCCCGCTGCTGTGGTGATCCGAAACCCAGGAGGGAGGTCAGACGTGGCCTGGATGTGCCGACTCAGACTTCATACACTTGTGACTCGTCTCGAGCTCGCTGTTTCTCGGAGAGCTCGCACCTCTGCCGGCAATATCAGGTCGCAATCCACGAGGTTTCTATTTGGAGTATGCAAGGCAAAACTTGATGACTGCGATCCATACGTCGGTGGCGGAGGGTCAGCAGGAAGCACCTTCACAAAAGGGATGCCACCGTATCGTTTTTTCAACCGCAACAGAATAAGATAAGACGTGTTCCAGGATGCTTCAGGTGGTCCACCATTCTCGAAAATCCTGCACAGTCTTCAACGAGGTAAACTACAACGAAATTAAATATTGTCCTTTCATACAACAGCGCGTTAAAGTTTCATGTTCAAGGCCACGGCCCACACCTACAGATAAAGAATACCAGTTCATTCCACCGTGACGTCATGTGATACATGTTGAAAGGCATGTCCTTATTAAACAGGGGCGTGGTGACGCTTTGATGGGATTTAGGATGACAGAGAATTTATTTAGGGGTAAAAGTCTTTTTGCATCCCTCGTCATACAGACAGGATGTCAGGGAAGGGACCACGTTTTTCTGAGCCCATTGAAGACTCCTCGTCGTCCGAAATCACTACCTTTAAGGCAAAGTGCGAAGCCTACAGGAAAGTGATTTCAGGATCAAAAACTTCCACTTCCAACTCCAAGCTTCATTTAATTTGGTCTCAAATAAATTGTAAAAATGTATTGCAGTATAATTATTACTGTATTTGTATTTCTGCCTTCCCTAAAATGTATTCCTGTATTTGTATTTCCAAATACTTTTTGCCTATATTTAAAATGTATTTCCGATACGTATCGCGATACACTTTTACAGATATATTTCAGTATCAGTATTTTAGGTACTATTTTAAAGTATCCCAGTATTTGTATTTCCAAATACATTTTGGAGTATTTCTGCCCAACCCTGCCTGCGCGTTACAATCGGGGGCGCGTTACAATTGTGCAAGCACGGTAGCCCATAGAGTTATGACCAAAAATAAACTGTCACAGAAAGTGGTTTAGTAGCCCTTTAAGTTCTCGTAACGTCCGACAAGACCTCTTTGATGTGCTACATTACAGGATAAAAGGTAATCTGCCAGGTTTCACACTAGAGCAGGTACATTTGAGGAAAATGTATAGTGAGTGGGCTGGGCACATGCTACGTGCGAGTGTGACGTCGTGTAATGCAAGGACGCCACATGACTGACGTCACATGATGTCGGGGGTCACATGATGGCACCAGTGTCAGATGACACATGACTGACGTCACATGACGTCAGGGGTCACATGATGGCACCAGTATCACATGACATCATATGACATAACGTGGCATCGTGCAACACCCTGATGTCGTGTGACATTTTGAAGTCAGTCTTTTGTGACGGTCATTAGTAAGGGATTTTTTTTACTCTCTCCTCCCATAATTTGGCTGGTAAAACAGATTCTGCATTTTAATTGGGCAGAGATGCTTAAAGGGCCCCTGTTTTCATTTGTTTTCTCTCTCAGCATTTCGGGCGCATGGAGGAGAGGTGGATCGGCTACGCCTTCCCGTTGAGGTGGAAAAAGTGAAAGACCAAAAGGGTCATTCTGGAATGGCCCGTGGCGTCATGGACTTTGCGTGCAGAATTTAAAATACTGTAAACGACTTATTTTTCGCGGGCTCAATATTTCGTGATTTAGGTCAAAGCTAAAATTTTGGAACAATTTGCGGGTTCTAATTTTCGCAACGCAGTGGGATCTCAGTATAGATTCCAATGTGTTTACATTTTACCAGAATTGTTAGCGAGACCTATTTTTCGTGAATTGTAGCCGATTCACGAAAATGAGGTCCTCGCGAAAAATAAGTCGTTTACAGCATAAATATTTCGCCGTCTATATTGCTCTAAAAAAATATTTTTTTTTCGCATAAATTTTATTTTTTGAGACGCATGTCCCAACCATAATTTTAAAAAAAGACTTTTTTCCTTTCCAGGGGCCCTTTAAGACTGCTTACATGTAGGAATGCAAAAGCATCCCTACACACAATGCATTCCTACAAGCAGTGCGCCATGTCCTCCTTTTTAACACAGTAGTTGTGACATCCTGCTCCCCCACAGTGCAGGCGCGACGAACCCCGCCGGCTTCACGATGGCTTCCGTTACGAAGCATCTGCGTTGCTGTGCTTTTCTTTGCGTTTCATTTCTGAGGCGCAACTGCACAGTGGGGGACTTTGGCATCTAATTCAGACCTCTAGTGCTACATTTTGGGCGAAAAATGAATGCCTAGTGATGCATAGTTTATTTTTCTTTAAAGAAATCCTCGTAAATTATTTGGAGGGACACTCTGTCTTATTTCAACTGTTTGCGCTCACTTTCACCTCCTCCTCAAGGCGCTGAGCAAGGTCGCCAATTTTTTTTTGTGGATCGCACAGTCCGCAATTTGATTCTTGCTGAGCCAATTGGTTCCTCTCACTGGTTACGATTAATTAGGCCTAATTATAATCATGTGAAACAAAATACTGTAAAAGACTAAATGTTCACGAGGATCTAATTATCATAAATTTCACGATTGGAAGAATATTGGAGAAACATTTATCGTGCAAGTATATCACCTAATGATAACGAATACGGAGCATACCACACCCAGTCGCGTAGCTTTGTGCCCACGAAATATTTTAAAATTTCACATATGCAAAGATTTGGGAAACATTGAGCCTGCAAAAAGAGTTGTTTATACTGTGCAATCCACTTATAATGATACCACTTACTGTCGAGAACGGTTATAACGAAGTCAACGTGAATCGGAAATCACTTTGCTGTATCTGCTACAGTAAAGACCACTTACAATGTAATCGCATATAGTGCCGGACTGGGTATGACGCGGCTTTTTTCAACCACCGGTTCACCTCCCATACAACTCCATGTAATTACATACGCTTAAAATGCAGGCGCGCAAATGGAAATACCGGTTATAGTGCGATTTCTGAAACAGCTTGCCGACCGTGCCGACCGACCAGCGCAGCAAGCACGCTTCCCTGTGCGACACTAGGTAACGGCGCTAGCCGCAAGCGGCACTCGCGGGGGCAAGGATGGCAAGGAGGTTGCTCGAAGAAGCAGGGAGAAGCGAAGAGAGAGGCTTCAGTTGCCATAGCGACGAAGGGAAGCACGCACGTGTCATTCACGACGCAAAGCGTTGGAGCGAGCCAACGATGGAGCGAGCCCAAACCGGCCAACTTTCCCCCGCTGTGTTGGAAACAACCGCAACGACAGACCAATTGCAGGTCGAGGAGAAGTGTTCGCACGCGTTGCATGTCGGTCGTGGGCCGGCCAGGCCGGCTTCTTCTATCCGCAAACATGGCATCGGTGATGATCGTCGACGTAGACGGCGTGGTGGAAGCTCATCGTTCCGCGTAAAAGCGCTATCATTGACTGTGAATTTTCGTTGTGCGTCACTATGATAACCCAGCATGTACTAGAAGGGAAGATCCACCTACTCGTGGGGCGATGTCGTGGCGGCACTCTCAAGACGGCAGAAACGCCCGTGTCGTCGTGTTTGTTTACTTCGACTACAGTGGTGCTTTCTAAGCATTTGTGCTTTCGAACATCGCCCGGATTTCTTATTTGGAGCATTTCATGAGTGCATTTCATGCAAATAAGGCATTTTATGCCTTATTTGGAGCATTTCATGCGCGTACCGTATAAAGGGTGCGAATTTTCATGCGTTTTCATCACCGGAGAAAAGTGATTAGGGGTAGCAATCCTGAACGCTCGCAACGTCCGTCCGCAACTCGCGACGCCGTTAAAAGGTTGCGCCAGGCAAAGGTCACTCATTTCTTTCAAAATGTGTGACACACTTGAGAAAGAAGTGTACTAGTCTCGTGAAATAAAGACTTTCCTCAAACTAAGCTTTATTTTTCATCTAACACTAAAAATAAATTGTTTTACAAAGGTAAGTTGTCTCAGGGCATGTATTTTGGCCTGAAAAATTGATGTTTTGGTTATAGCGTGGTATCGTTCATAGTGCGGATTTTCGCGACTCCCGCGACATACGTTATATGCGGTCTACACTGTATTTTGTTATAACCAACTTCGGTTAACGAAGTGCAAAAAGGAATGGGAAATCGTGATCGCTTCGCTGTAGCCGCTATTTTGTTATAACCAACTTCGTTATAACCGGTTTTGACAGTATAGCAATGTACCGCTCATAGCGATCAGTTTATAGTTTATAGACTAGAAACGATTAGTTTCTAGTCCATATACAAGGATGATCGGTTATAACCATTAAAATTTATAATTTTCTCATTATCGTTATAAGTGGATTGCACCGTAGTAAGACAAACTATGCTTTCTCAATGATTCTATATGCCTGCAATGGGCTGCATACACTTTGCATTGCCTTGACCCACCTGCGACACTTTTTTGTCAAACTCGAGTGTAACAGTTTCCGCATAAAGCCCAACCTATAAACACATTCTCCGTTAAAAGATCTAGATTTTTTTAACATTCTGGCACATCTTAAGACCACTGGAAGCGGGCACCGTGGTCCAATGGCGACATCAAACTCACGGCCTCCTCGGCGCGGCCGGCAGCGCCCGCACCACGACGGCCTTGTGTGCCGCCTGCAGGTGGCGCCTGAGCTTGTTCTTGCCCACAAAGCCCTTGTTGCAGAAGGGGCAGGAGTTGCTGAAGGCCCGGCTGTGCTTCAGCACCACGTGCTCCTTCAGCGTGCCGGGCTGGAGGAAGGCGGCCCCGCACTCCTTGCACCGGAACGGACGCTCACCCGTGTGCGAGCGGATGTGGTTGGAGAGCCCCAGCACCGACACAAACGTGTGCTTGCAGATCTGTCGGGGCGCGGGGCAGGGGGTGGGAGTGGAAAGACGGGACCCATGGCATTACTAATGCCGCATGCACGACCGAGAAGAAATGCTTTTCCGTGCATCTACAAGTTTCGAGTGACCTTGCCTAGTCGGTCTCGCCCTAGCTCTTTCCTAAACATTCTAGGTCAAATGTTCGAGATGACGAGCACAGTAGATAGGGACCAAGGCACGGTATCGCCGATTCACTCTCGCGATGGCCAGCTGTCGACGCTCGCTGCTGCTTTCTCGATGCGAGTTCTTCCTTTTCTGTTTCTGGCGCAAGTTTGCCGGTTAAGCCTTTATTTTCACTTCAATGTTCGTCGTCTCGTCGCCTTCATACGTGACAAAATATTAGTTTAAAAACCCCGTACGAACGCACGCCCTCGAGAGATCGCCCGTTCCGTTATTGGGCTGAATATCTGTAACGTAAAAGTTCCGAAACGTCGCCCACCCCTCGATCCCCGTCTGATATCGATCGCGGAATGTCCGACAGGAATCACGTGAACGGCGCGATTTGCGGTCCCGGTACACGTGACGAGTGAGTTCGAGCTCGTTCCCATGGTTCTTTTTGTTTGTAATTTGTGCGCGCAACATTGGTTTCTGTGGTACGCAAGTTTGTAGTGGCTTCCCCTCATGTTTGTTGCACCAATAAAGGCAAATCTGCTGCATCCATGTTCTGCGGTTTTGTTCCCAAGACGGGAGTTCTAGCATCCCATCCGCGATCTGCACATGCGACGCCAGTTACCATGATGCCCGTGTTTGTACAGAGTTCTTGCGTCTTTATCTCACCGTGGAGCACGAATTTGCAGTGTCTGCGGTGTCTCGTATCCGCTCTATGTTTCACGTGGTTTGTACTAGGATATGCATTTATCACCAATTTTGATAACATTTTGCTGTTACATCCCCACAAATCGCCCACCCCACATTTTTCGCCATTTATCTGTTCACTTTGGGTGGACGTTCATACGGGACTTTACGGCAATCCAGAGGGAAAGGTTCCATGCATCTCAGCCACTTAGGAGGACGCCGAGACTCCTATTGTGGTCCCGACAGGAACACATTGCTGATGGCACCTTGATATACACAAAAAAACACGAAAACATCACTTGCAATGTCTGTATCTTGTTATCTCTAGCTTTCACTTGCATAAAAACACCAGCATCACATCAAATAAAATAAAGCCAACTATTCGAGCAGCTTCAACACATTGCAGCGAAGACGAACATGCCTAGACTGTCATCTGCTTTCTTTCTCCACTTTCCCATCACTCTCTTTCTCTTGAGACTGCTGCCCTCAGTGCTTACAATCTGCCACATTTTCCTCCCGTCTTTGCCCCTAATCGCAAAAGGGTTAACCCAAAAAGTAATGCGGAGAGCAAGTTTGTCTGGTTCTTTTGTGGGGATTTTGGTAACGTCAGAACGTCGAGCTTCGATCAGAGCTGGGCTTTGGGACGTCCCCACAACCCCTGCAAAAGAAGCAGACAAACTTGCATTCCACATACGAATGAGCCAAATGGAACAAAGAGCTCATCAAAGGCAGTCTCACCTCGCAAGTGTACCCGGAGTCCGCATTGGTGGGGCGTTTGCCATGGGCCGACATGCAGTGTGCCTGCCAGCTGCTCTGGTACTTGAACCGTAGGTGGCACTTGTCGCACTGGATCTTCAGGTCGCGGCGATCTCGCTTCTTGGCGGGAACCTTCCGCACGTTTGCGCACGTCAGCTGACCCTCGCTGCCGGGTTCTGGAAACAGGCGCGAGGAAGGAACTTTCTTGACCCGTTCTGTAAGTCCAGGACTGGTGACAAATTCTTTCATGGGTCAACAATGCCTCTCCACGTGGGTGACTTAAAGTGACTACAAGTCACAGCACCCCCTCCCCCCGCACTCTAAACAAGGGGTCAATAAAGTGTTTTCTCTTTTCTCCCTCCCCCTCGTCATGACCATTCACATAAACAAAATTGCCCTTTAAGGTGGGACTAGGGTACTTAAATATGTTTTTTTATTTATTGAGATACCTTGCTGAAGGTTGGCATGCATATGTATCACTAGATGGTGATTTCAAATCTGCAGTTGAATTTCAGATATCTCTTTTAGAACAAAAGATAAGCAAAATATAAAATTCCAATAAGGTAATTTCTTATGGGTCGTTATGGTAATTTCACATCAAAAAATTTATATTTTAACAATATGCAGTGATTTTCAAGAGTTCACCATATATCCAAAAGCTAATTGAACTGCGCTGGAGCCAGCCTCTCAAAGACTGGCTCCAGCGCACTGCGAACGAAGCCTGGCAGTGGTTTCTTGTGTGGTGGTGGCTCCTCATGGTTGGCCAGTGCCCGGTTGTAGGAGCACCAGGAACTGTCACCCTCGGGACAGAGGCTGTGATCCGGGGCTTCATCTGTCGACGTCATGTGCAACAAAGTTGCTTGCACTGCCCTTTCCATCCCTGGCACATCATACTTGTGGCTTCTCAAGGCGTACCCATAGTAGTTTGTTATTTTTTTAATCTTTTCCTGGGTCAGCTTTCCCTTTCCTCCGAGCGACTCTCCCTGTGCCTTCTTCTTCTCCACCAGGGTACGAAGAGCTGCTCCCATCCGCTTGTGTACATGGTTCAGGCAGTCTTTTTTCTCAATGTCGAGGTATCCATAGACGCTGTCTTGTGTCAGGGCATGGAAGGTGCGGCTGTCACCATCGGAAAGGACGGTGGTGTAGCGCAGTCCATTCTTCGCCAGGGACCGCCTGAACAGAATGAGGGCTGCCTCGGTTTCCATACGTCCTGCGCTACAGTCAATGTTCTTCATGCACTTGTGGTTGATCACCCAGTCCCCATAGCTGTCGTCATCTGGGTCAGGTGCACCCTGGCAGCCACGGCAGTACCTTGAGAGGACAACGTGGTCCAGCACCAGGCCAGTGTACAGCTCAAGGATGCACCCCACTGCGATGTTGGAGTTGTGTCCGCGCGTCTTCCATGTGCCGTCAAAAATTATATCTACGTTTCCAGGATGTTTGAGGAAGCTCTCGTAGACGCCCTTCACCACCTTGACACTCGCTGCTTCTGTGGCTGTTGCTGCTGCCTGGCAAGCCTGCACCATGGTGTCCATGTGTCCCCTGAACGCCTTATGATGAAGCCCTCGCTGGGAGAGGTTCAAGGTTGCACAGAAGTCTGCAAGCGCAGTCGCCCCCTTTCCTATGCTCTGTATTCCCTTCATCGCCCTCAAGTTGATCTCGAAGGGCGTAATCTTGGCTTCCCCGGCGACTCGTGGAGAAGAAAATCGACTCTCAGCGAAATCGCAGCTCGAGCACGTAAGGACCAACTTCACTGCCAGGCCGTATTGCCTCTCTTAGCACTTTGAAAGTCCTACGGTAGCCATTCAGCACTTGCCGCATGCCGTGGACGCAAAGAGTTCTTGTAGCACTGTCATGTCCACGATGACGTACTCCGTGTCGCGGTCGGTGTCGTCACTCTCCATGCAGACGTCGAGGAGCTCAAACTTTCGTGAAGTCGCTGACTGATCTGCCAACGAAGCCTTTCTGTCGTCCGCACGTTGTTCGCGCTCCACGCACTCCTCCTCCGTGTAGAACACAGTGTCGATTCGATCCCTAGACGAACTTGGTCCAGCCACGTCCACGAGCGGAAAAACGGCTTGAGGCATCGGTGAAGCTGTCGAACACAAACTCGGTCCAGTCGCGTCCACCAACGATAGAGCGGCTTGCGGCATCGGCGAAGTCGAAGGTGTCGTTTTCCTCGATGCCGAGGTCTTCTTGTTCCAGGCACGTCTCCTCTTTGTGTTTAGTCTTTGCGTGCTGGCCTTCAAACGGGCGTCCCCAGCCATCAGAACTCGAAGTAAACTCGAAGCGCGGAGGCAGAACGACACAAAGAACTACGACGCAGGAGGGCAAATATATACGAAAAGGGAAAGCTAAACAAAGTGGAGGTATCAAAATATTTACATGAACGATGCGAAGAAGACAGGGAACATACAAAAACACTAGGAAGCACAAGAAAAACACTGAAAATATTGATATAGAAAGTGGAGAAATGCGAAGGCAGCGTACGTCTCGAACGGCGGAGCGAGCGAAAGCAGACGACACGGGAGCTTGCGGAGCGACTGGGACGACGCGCCGGGAAAGCCAGGAGAGGAGGCGCGCGTTTCGGCCAATGAGAGAGCTGCGCCTCGGAGCTTTGCCCAATCAGCATCTTTCCTAGCGCTGGTGACGGCCTTTTGTGCGGCATCGATGACGTCGTGGCCTTGAGGGGTACACCGCCTTGGAGCGCGGGAAAAATAAGCGCGGGAAACCAGCTTTCGAACAAGACCAAGATGGCTCCGATCGGACGAGCCATTGCGGAGCTCCGATGGCTTGAAGTTTTAGAGTTTAGGCTTGAAGTCAGGTCTGTCAACGCTTACAAATTGTCATTAGTTTCATATTTAGAGATCGAATTGAGCATTTATATTTTATGAGGACATACTCTGGACTATGTAGACCTCAAATCGTGAACTTTGAAAAAAGGAATTTTTCGCGATTTTTTGCTATTTTAAGACCCGCGTCCCCCCCTCAACAGAACTAACTTTCAAAAGCTCGCATCTACTTTTATGTACAAGTGAAGAGAATGCACTACCCTAGTCCATCGTAACAATCAACGATCATTCCTTAGTCACAGCAGAGTTCACCTTACATGCCATTTCATGTTAAAATGTTACAATTACTTGTTGAAAGTGAATGGCTCTTCTTGAACTGCACTTGTATATTAAAAGCGAAAGGTTCTTCTTGAACTACATTTGTTTTTTTTAAGCCTTTTTAGTGCTACAAAGTGATTATAAAGTACAGTGTAGACCGCATATAACGTATGTTGCGGGAGTCGCGAAAATCCACACTATAAGCGGTACCGCGCTATAACCAAAACATCAGTTTTTCAGGTCAAAATGCATGCCATCAGACAACTTACCTTTGTAAAAGAATTTATTTTATGTTAGATGAAAAATAAAGCTTAGTTTGAGGAAAGTCTTTATTTCACCAGACTAGTACACTTCTCTCTCAAGTGTGTCACACATTTTGAAAGAAATGAGCGATGACGAGTTTTGCCTGGCGCAGCCTTTTAACGGCGTCGCGGGTTGCGGACGGACGTTGCGAGCGTTCAGGATTGCTAACCCTAATCACTTTTCTCCGGCGATGAAAACGTGTGAAAATTCGCATCCTTTATGCGGTACACGCCAGTAATACCTTCAAGTTGAGCAGAGGCATGAAATGCTCCAAATAAGAAATCCGGGTGATGTCCGAAAACACAAATGCTTAGAAAGCACCACTGTAGTCGAAATAAACAAACACGACGACACGGGCGTTTCTGCCGTCTTGAGAGTGCCGCCACAACATCGCTGCACGAGTAGGTGGATCTTCCCTTCTAGTACGTGCTGGGTTATCACAGCGACACACAACGGAAATTCACAGTCAAGGATAGCACTTTTACGCGGAACAATGAGCTTCCACCTATGTTGACGATCACCACCGACGCCATGTTTGCGGATAGAAGCAGTCGGCCGGCCGGCCCGCGACCGGCATGCAACGCGCACAAACACTTCTCCTCGACCTGCGATTGGTCTGTCGTTGCGGTTGTTTGCAACGTAGCGGAGGGACGCACGCACATGAACGACACGTGCGTGCGTCCCTCCGTCGCTATGGCAACTGAAGCCTCTCTCTTCGCTTCTCCCCGCTTCTTCGAGCAACCTCCTTGCCCCGCGAGTGCCGCTTGCGGCTCGCGCCGTTATCTAGTGTCGCACAGGGAAGCGTGCTCTCTGCGTCGGGCAGTCGGCGCGGTCGCCGGGCTGTTCTTGAAACCGCACTATTCGCGACTCCAGCAAAACGGACGCCGCCAAGCGGGAAAACCGGGAACCAGCCGGTCCAGGTCGCTCCGCGCCCCTCCGCGTCTCTCGTGGCTTTCGCGGAGACGTGTTGTCGGCGCCGTGGCGAACAATGTAACTTGACGAAGGTCCGAATATTACTTCAAGTTCGCCTGAGTGATCATTAGTGTGGTGAAGCCTCAGTAGATTGTTTTCTTCTATTACGTGTTTGAATGCCCATTTACTCCACAGCACACGGTCGCGTGCTTTCGATTTCTTGGATGGGGAGGAATCACGGAAAATCTTTTTTGATTTCTTGTCTGTTTCGAATCACATTCAAAGTGACGACTGCTTGGTAACTGATACTGGATGGAACATCAATGTTGCAGTCAAGTGAATGGGAAGGTTCGATAGCTGCTTTTCTTGAGTTTGGTTGTGTTCGGTTAGCTTCAAGTTTGAGCCACCCACGCCGGTCGGTGCGTTGGCTATTCATCTTGGCTGTTTTTTTGCCGAAAAAGCCTCTGGACCACACTGAAAGAGTTGGGCTGATTTCGCAATTACTTGATTCAGGAAAACTTGCTCGCTGCAAATGATGAATGAGGGAAATTATCTGTTTTCAAAAGGTGGGAAACAAGTCTCGCAACGTTAGATGCTGTCACGGCATTTTGACCTATCGCGCCTCCAATATTTATATTACGAGGATGTCGAAGCCAGCAGCAATATACGTCTACATTGGTCAGGTTGACGGGCCACAAAAAAATACTAATTTTCTCCGTTCAGGATTCGAAGCAAAGTTCAATGCAGAGAGGTTCTGCGTGGATCTTCAATACACACTCTCTTCAGTTTGTCTCCGTGCTGCCGGCTATAGAACCATTCGGCTAAGTTTAAGTAGTATGTCTCTGTCTGTC